CAGGTTAAAATCAGCAAAAGGAAAACGCACATGAGGGAAGTCCAGAAGAAACCAGGCATAAGCTTGCAGGTGTCTTTCCTAGTAAGGTCACAGGGACACACTTCCAGCAGTGAAGCATGACACTTGCAGTGTTGTCCACCAAGGAAGAGCACTTGAACCTTGGTGTCCAAGGTTTTTATTGCAAGCTAGTCACATACGCAAGAACCACCTGTATAACTGATCTCAACTACTTAGTCTCCAACCTCCCAGAGCAGAGAAGTGGTCACCATAAATCACAATGTTAGCATAAACTATCTGATCAAATTGGCACCCTTTGGCCCAAGGGCTCAGAGCTTACCTCTTAGGAGATGGCCAAAGGCACCTTTTCAGATATGCACAAACTTTGAGCAACCGGGGCCTGCTGAGTTAACTCTTCATCATAAGTGTAGACTTATGTAATAGCTGAAGTCCCTTGTAATTCTAATGTTTTATGAATGGATTAGTAATTCATAGCATATATATTGTAAAGAATGTAATGCTTTATTTTTTCTTTTCGATGATGTGGATAATTCTATTGGAAAGCTTTAAATAAAAGAATTATACTGATGATGCTAGAAAACAAAGCTGTATTGAATGTCTAAAAATAAAGGAATATGTGTTTTACGCAAGTCAGCAAAAGCCCTTCTCAGTGATGAATAAGATCCCAAGTGGGAAGATTAATATTTTCAGACTTGAGTCATTTAAAGGAAATCAAAGGAAACTACATAATTAAACTCAGTTTTAGAAGCTAAGTTCAGTTAACATTTGATTAGGAAATTACTGATATTTTTAATTTTCCTTGTATTGGTGATAAATTTAGACGTTTTTAATGAAAACCCTTTGCATCATTTTTATGTAGTTGAGTAATTGATCAAGTTTTATTTGTCAAATTTAGTATGAGTTTCTCCTACACTCATTTTAAAGTTGTTTAGTGCCATACACCATATTTAGCACCTATTACACAACTGGTATTTTCATCTTCCTGTTGTTTATCCTTGATTCATGGTTTTCTAATTGGGAATTGTTTTGTGTCTATATGTCTTTTTATTTATTTTTTTTATTTTTTTAAGATTTTATTGGGGAATTAGAGAAGGGGAACATTGTGGGTTTTTTTCTTTTCCAGGACCCATCAGCTCCTCAAGTTGCTGTCCTTCAATCTTAGTTGTGGAGGGCGCAAGCTTAGCTCCAAGTCCAGTTGTTGCTTTCAATCTAATAGTTGTGGGGGGGTGTGATTCACCATCCCATGCAGGAGTCGAACCGGCAACCTTGTTGTTAAGGACACACGCTCTCACTAGCTCAGCAGCAGCTCAGCTCAGGCACAGCTCACTGGCCCAGGTGGGAATTGAACCGGCAACCCTGTTCTCAGAGCTCACGCTCTAACCAACTGAGCCACATGGTTGGCCATACGTCTCTTTTTTTTTAAGTCTTTAAAAATGTTCAGAAACATTTTGTTTTTCTAAATTGAAGTGTATTTAGGTGTTTTTTTTTTCTTCTGAGTTCATAATGTATGATTTTGGCATAAAATTCGCAAATTATCATATGGAGTAATGTATTTGTTCTACATTTGAAATTGCAGAATATTTGAAATGGTTATATTTAAAGTAGAGAGAAACCTTTATAAAATTTCAGAGAAATACTTTCATCTGAAAAAAATGCATTGGAATTAGTTTTGTATAAAAGAAAGCTTAGTGTTCCTGTCTGGTTGGTCGTTTTACGTAGCATTAACTCCATGCACTAGAAATGTCATAGTGTAAAATAACCATATAAGCACTGAACTCTTTTCTTTCACACTTTTAATTGATATTTTCTGAACTATGTGCAAGTGTGGTGCAGGAGGGGACCAGATGACTTTAAAGCTCTGCATGTATATAAATGTCCTTGGAACAGGTATATAGCTGCTATCTAAAATGTCTATTGCGGGGTCTGGAAATGCATCTTAGTTTTCCCATCGGCATGAAATCTTTTCTCCGAAAGAGCGAAGTCTTGCCTTTTAGCGGGCAAGACTTAGTAGCCTGGCTTAGTAGCCAATGTGGTTTCCCAGCCATTCACAATATATTATCTACATTTTAGTGAGTCCTTCAGTAGTGTTTTACCTTCTCCCATTATAAATAAAAATTATAGTAATGCAGAATACTGTTGAGTAGTAAGTGCTCTACTTTTCAACACTCTAGTAGTCGTCCTGGCTGTTTTTCCAGGATTCGTTCTTTTCAGCTTTGCTTCTCTAAAGAAAAAGCCCACATTGGCAACTAAAAATTCTTTGGCAAATCCTGAATTTGACTTTCCTGTAGATAAGAGATTTTATTGACCTCTTTAGATTTCCTCTTTGTCACTAAGAAATAGGCATTTTAAATTTCTTCACTCTGGTCCAATTGTGTTTAACAAGTAGGACATGGTACTAGGAACTAACAATAGTCAAAGCTGAATAAGACGCTGTTCTCACCCTTGAAGAACTTACACTCTAGGCTATTCATTCCATTTTCCTATCAAGAAAATGGAAGACAAAGGTTAATGTGAGCATAAATTATTCCCTGTTTTATGTAGTTCCTCAGGCCCTTTTCTTTTGACTGGATGGCTTATTACCTGACCGTATCCAAGCTTGCTTCCTTTCCATGCACTTCAAGGAGAACTGTTCCCAGCAGCTGGTGAGAATGTGCTCCACTTCTGAATAGTCAGCCAGAAAACTGGAATTGTTGAAGCTTTTGAGTGTCCAAGCCTCTAAATACCATTTGTCTTTCAGAGTTCTCCACTATTTACCTAAATTAGGGCTTTTGGAGTTTTATCCACAGAGCTTGCAATCTTACTTGCTTTTCAAAGCGCTTATGGGAAACCTTCATTTATAATTAAGAGACTAGATGTACAGAGGGTGCCAAAAATATGTATACACATTTTAAGAAAGGAAAAAAAAACTGTATTGAAATTGTAATACTCAATATATACTGATAACAAAAGACGAATACAAGTTGTGTGTATACATTTTTTTTGGCACCCCTGGTATTGTCAGGTAAGATACCATAGCCACAAATCCAGGAAATTACCCAGCATTCTAGGCGTTCTTTGAGGATTATGAATTACTTCAGATCTTTAAAAAAAAAAAAAATCCCCAATATCTCCTACAGTTTAAATTGCTGATCTAGTAGACCCTATTGAATTTTTCTATAGTATCTGCATTTCACAATGAATTTAAAGGGCAATTTATTCTTCAAATATGGGTAAATTAAATTTTGTTTCCAAATTATAACCTATTGTTAAAACTATTAAATTGAACCCAAGAATAGTGAAAATAGTTTAAAACTTCTCCCTTATACTGTAGACTTTCTGAGTCAGAATGTGGATGAATCTAGAATTTAAAACAATTAAGAGATAATTTTGTAAATCCTGGCAGTTCAACATGAACTTCCCAAGTAGACTCCACTGCAGACTCTTAGGAGATTCAGAAAGGCTGTGGGTTAGGTTTTATCTTATGAAAGGAGTACTAACATTTGAGGTGATAAGCTATCCATTTGTGATAACACTTCAAAAAGAGTCTTATTCTGCAAGGCAATATCTGAATATCTTCTGAATAAAAGTATAGGGAAAGAGAAATAACTTCATAATATATTACTCATTGCAGTTTGTGCATTATCTAAAAATCATTTAATTTATTAGTTCTTCAGTGTCTACTTAGGATAGATAACATTGAATAAAAATTCTAGTTATGGCACATTTCTATCTATACAGTTTTGCTACTTAAACACCATTTTAAAATTTTATGTGAACTATATTTTAGGAGAAAGCGTTCCCTTTTAATTTCACATATGATTATATGTAAAACTAAGGCATTAAATGAATTGGCCCCCAAATACTGCAGTATGAGTGTTATAGTAAGGAAAATTTAAGCCATCCAAAGGCATCTAAATTTTACTTTGGTAGTTTTAAGGTGAATATTTAATTCTAGGCATGATTTGTGGTAGATGGTGCGTATTCAAATAATATGGTGTAATGAATTATTTTATAATATGATTGGTAGGAGATAGTATATTAGTTTCCTATTGCGGCTATAACGAATCACCACAAATTTAGTGGCTTGAACCAACACAGACGTATTATCTTATAGTTCTGGAGGTTGGAAGTCTTAAGATGTTGACTCCAGTGCAGGATCAGCTTCTTACCTTTTCCAGCTTTTACAGGCTGCTGCATTCCTGGACTCACAGCCTCTTCCTCCATCTTCAAGACCAGCAGCGTGGCATTTTCAGATCTATGTTTGTCTGTCTGTCTTATCTGTCTATATTCATGCACTTTAGAATAACCTGATAATTAATAATTCATTTTCTTATGATCTTAAAATCACACATCATTCCCTTATTGGAATGTGTATCAAACTAAAATTCTCCTAAACATGAAGAAGGGTGTTTAATAAAGTTATAACTATGTAAACATTGCCAGTAATTTTGCTTATTTTTCTCTTTGCTTTTCTGTGTTTTCTTTTTTTAATTTTTAAAAGTAAATCTGGATTACTTGCATCATATAAAAGTATTTTGTGGCTTAGATTTCTTTAATTAAGCATTAAAATTAAATATTTCTCTATATATCTCTACATTTCTCTATAAATTGATAAAATTGCCAGTGTCCTATAATATCATTAAAATAAGTAAAAATTTCTCTAAACTTAAGAAGTCTTAACATTTATTGTAATTTTATTTTTATTATGGAAATGTTTTTATTATTCTGGAGATGTTATGTTATGGTATGCTGAATTTTCTGATTTCTATGAACTCTGAATATAATTGTCTTGGTGGGATTAGCTCTTAAAATTCATTTTGCTGTGTCTTTTTTTCATAGCATGATAGTTTCTTACTATATATGACAGGAGTTATTCTATAAAAATAAAGAATTTATTTAATATCAGGTTTATTAAAAGCAAACATGGGAAGGAATGTAACTCATAATAATAATGACAATTTAAAATTGGACTCAAAGCTAACATTTTTTAAATTTTTTTACAGGAATTGAAACCTGATATAGTAACTAAATCTGCTCTTGGTGATGATATCAATTTTGAAAAAGTCTGCAAAAAGGTATATCTGCAATGGATTGTATCTCTTTTAGGAAGAGTTTCTTATTTATATTTTTTTACTTTTTTTCTTGTCACTGTTTTCCTTGATGAGAAAACTTATCAAGAAGCCAATTACTATTAGTATATAATGATTTTTACCCACTTGAGTTCCAATATTGCCATGGAAAAAAAATGAATGGTAATTTATGACTTTTACTTTGTTATCACACCTGCAAGGTCCTTAAAGGTATGTTGAACTTGGTTTGATATTTGTGTGTTAAATAACAGTCTGTTAATCTTACTAAATAGAACAATCTCAGTTTTTATTCTTTTCATATAATGTCCATGAATATTTCATTTAATCTTGCATTCACTCTGTGTGTGGAAGGTTATTATTACTTCATTTTACAAATGAGGAAACTGAAAAAATGAAGCGAGCTGATTAAGACTATACCACTGTTATGTGGCACAGTTGGAACTTCTACCCAGTTTTCTTCCCCTTGGATTTGCCGCTCCTGCTGCATCCTTACTGTCTGCCCTGTTGCATTTCCACCACTTTGCTCATGATGCCTACATAAGACAGTTCAACCTGAGAACAGACTTTGGATTGTTTGATTTTGCTCTCTTGCTTTTCAGTTTTCAGTTTCATTAACATTTGCTCTAATCTGCGTTTCTTCTTCAATTTCTGTTTACTTTGCCCTTTTTCTAGTTTTTTCTGTGGGAGCTTAAATTACTGATTTTAGATCTTCTTTTTGATACAATAAATTTAATGCTATAAATTTTCCTTTAAGCACTACTTTAGTGGCATCCCATATATTTGATGTTATATTTTCATTTTATTTGAGTTCAAAATGTTTTGAATTTCCCTTGAAACTTCATGTTTGACCCACAGTTTAATTAGAAGTATGTAGTTTGATTTCTGAGCAGTTAAAGAGTTTTCCAGATACAGTCTTGTTACTGTTTTCTGTATGATCCACAAACATACTTTTTCTGATTTTTATGCTTTTAACTTTGTTATTTGTATTACGGGCCAGAGTGTGGCTTATCTTGGTGACTATTTCATGTGCACTTAAAAACAATATACTATAATCTATTGGAATTAGTGTCCTATAAATGTCATTAGGTCCAATTGGTTAATGGTGTTGTTCAGTGATTTACATCTTTACTGATTTTCTGCCTACTTGTTTTATTGATTATTAAGAGGGCATTTTGGAATCTCCAACTATAAGTGTCAATTTGCCTATTCCAGCTTAAGGAAAAAATACTCATAGTCTACATTTATGTAGACTAGAACTCACTTCTCTACCGTTAATAGATATTAATTAGACACATTAAATGTTAAAGCATTTGACTATAAGAAGGCCAGAATATGAAAGGTTTTTATGTGAGGGGTGAGGACTTGTTGCCATCATTGTCCTTGTCAGAAAGGCAGCACCAAAGCCATGAGGGTGATTTCACAGCAGCTTCTTTATCATATACGAGTATGATTTTACAATAAGTATTGTTTTATAGGTTTCATTCATAAAGAGGAAACAGTTTAGTTTTACTATAGTTTTAAACTTGTGGTTTGGCCTATATCTCTCACAAAATAATAACATGTTAAATAGAATAGTTGTAATTGTTTAAAAATTTGGCATAATAGTTTTTTGTTTTCTCTTGAGAGTTTAAAAAAATAATAGTGTTTTTTTTTTTACCAGAATAAATTTTTTTAATGTTATGGTTGCTAAATTCTAAAAGTATTTCATTAATGTTTAATTTGTGGTAAGAGTAAAACACCATTTATGTTTTGTTCCCTAATAATATTGTTTTCATTTAAACTCTAATAACAGTAAAACTTGGTTAAGTTACTACTTAACTTGAACTTGGAAATATCCAAAATAAAGTATCCTGTGTCTTTTTTTTCCCCCTAACTTCTCAGCCGGATTGTTTTCACTTTGGAAGGTTAATATTAGTTAATGTATGTGTAATATATGTAAAATCAGTTTTTTAGGGTTTCGTCTTCCACTTGCAACCCTTTGTTCAACCTTGCAGTGTGTGAAATGTCATTTATCTTAAAAATGGGGAAACAAACATCTATGTTAGCTTATTATTTTGTAATAGTAAATTCTTTTGCATATTACTAGACTTGTAGTCATGAGATTTATAATAGTAATTCAGATAAAAAGTTTAGGATCTGACTGAAATATTGTGAAGTGAAGCCTGATTACATTTCTGCCCTTTTGTACCTTCCTCCCAATAAAAGGAAGGCAGGGAGGTGGAGAGGAAGGAAGGGAAACAGTTCTGCTTCATCAGAGTTGGTGATGGATGCCTGAAGGAAGTGAGAGCCAAGGGAAACTGCCCTACGTAAGAATCAGTTCAGATTCCTCCCAAGCTATTTGATTTTAGTTATTTTGTTGCTATATTATTTCATTTGTGATATCCTTCCATTGGATTCAAGTTCTTCCGTATCAAAATGTGTTAATAAGTTAAATAGTAAAACAGAAATGAGGCCGGCGGCAGAGTGTCCTGGAGGGAGAACTGGCTATTCTTTAATTTAGTTTACCATAGGAAGGAAGCCAGTGGAAGATGACGAAATAGGAAATAAGTCTGTTACATAGAGCTCTGCACATTTAAGGTTATCTGCCCGTCAGAATAGAGCAGGACATACTAATTTGTTTAACATCCTACAGCTTGCACAATTCTTCCATATGCATTCTTATCTCAATTGATCTTACACAGTGATCTCATAGAAAGCATTCATCTGTGCATGTGTGCACAGGCATGAGTGTATGCGTGTGTCTAGTAATAGTAATAGTATCTTTAGTTTTCAAACACAGAAAGGGGGTAGAAAGGTTAAGTAGCCAGCTAATGTGTATATGATGAGACTTTAAAGCTAGAGGGTTTAGAGACTGGAACGTTTCCAGACAGCTGTTGCCAGAATTTCAGGAGTGTCTCAATTCAAAACATCTGTTGCATGCATAACAATCAGGCACTGTGGAAGATATGAAGGGAATAGAGACACACAGTGTTTTATAGAGGAATGTATAATGCAGTAGAAAATAAAAGACAGTTACATTAAAGAACTATAAAATAAGAGGAATCAAATTTGTTAACATCTGCCAGTTCCCTGACTCATTTGGTGCTTTATGTTAACTTTCTTAGGGGAGATGATGATAACCCCATTTAACAGACGAGACAATAGGCCCAGAAAGATAAAAAATATACCTATAGTCAGTCAGTAGGAAATGCCAGGTCCAACGTCCAAACCTAGGTCTTGGTCTACAAAACGATGTTTAGGACAAAAGGATGGAATAAGATTCCATATATGTAGGACTGCGTTTTAGAATCATGGTGTCATAGGGATTATAAGAGTTCAACAAATACAGAAAGGTTTCCTGTTCCCTTAAGTATGAACTCTGAGCCTTAGTTTGCTCAGTGTGCCACAATTCTTCAGATCCAGCTGAATGAACTTTTTTACTATCCCCCTACATGTTTTTAATATGTACAAATATTAATGTGTTGATTTATATCTTTAGGTAAAACCTAGAATTGAAATTAAGTCAAATTAATATGAAAAGTACTTGCTACTAGCATTCTACCTTTACCAGTTCATTTAGAGTCTGTTTGTTTTAAGGCATCATTTCAAAGGAATGAACATTGCGTGTAACAGAGCTTTTTCATTTTTAGACTTGTTTATATTCACATGTACATTCTCAAAATTCTTTTCAAAATTGAACACCAAATGCTTTGTGTTCACAATAAATACCCATATGCCAAAATAAAATTTTTCCATTAAAAGATGAGGTATTTTCCCTTTTTTATTTAATTTATTTGAAATGGAAGAAACTGGAGGTGTGTTAAACCACAGTTTCCTGAGAATTTTCCATGGCAAACACTGTGTCAACTTTAAGGAAAGCTGTGGCTTCCTTCATACCCCCCAATATTGTGAAGACTTTCATGCAGGTGTAGAAACTGTTTGTTCACAGAGACTGCTTAGCCTTTTAAGCCTCAAAGTAAATTTATTTAAATTTAAGATGTATGACTCCATTTGATTTTTTTTCTATAAGCCTCCATAGCAGTTTCTGTCTCTCCTATGAGGTTTGTCACATTCTGCCTTGGAATAGTAGTTATTTGTGCATTTGTCTTAACCTTTTAAATTAGATCATGATCATGAGCCTCAAAAGATGGTATTCATGTCTTTGCGTGAAAGGGCAAGACTTCATATAATGAGTCATGTTTATGTAAATACAAATATAAATATGAGTGACTATAAAAAGGGAGGAAGGAAGATGGACAGGAGGTAAATTAAGGAGTGATAAAGGAATTGAAGCCTCACGCAGCTGCTGCCCTGCTTATCCTTGTGAGTTCCTACACCCGCACATTGCAGAGAACCCAAGCACCGCCAAGGTGTGAACCTCAGCCCACTGGTTTCACAAGCCTCTTTTTTTTATGTTTCTATTTAGTTTCTTTCCAGGAAGGTTTGAGAGGGGTGTGGAGTTGGGTTACAAAAGGAGAGAACTTTATCTCAAGTAATTTGCAAGAAAAGGGGTTTCTCAACAAGCATTCTCATACTAGACTGATTTCAGAAACCTGACTGATACATTCAGTTCTTAAAATGTTTGATTTAAAGAAAGTCTCAGTTAAAAACAGTCAGATTTTATAAATCACAGCAATCATTTAAATAAACTTTTTTTATGTCTCCTAAGTAAAAATGTCAAATTTAACACTTTAAACCTTTCTTTAATTTTCTTCTTCAGAAAGCAATTAGAAATCATGTAATTTTTTATTTTTATTTATTTTTTTACTTTTTTTAAAGATTTTATTGGGGACTTGGTGGAAGGAACAGCATTGGGGAATTGGGGAAGGACAACAGACAAGTTGCTGTCCTTTGATTCTTCAGTCTAGTTGTGGAGGACGACGCTTCACTGGCCCATGTTGGTATTATCATTGTGCTCTTCCCTGCTGAGGCAGATCAGTAGCTGGCCATTGGACGGCCACTCACAGCGGCTCTTGGCAGCTCACGCTGGCTGCCGGCCACTCACAGTAGCTCATGGCAGCTCCACTGCAGCAGAGGCTGCAGCCTACGCCTTCGTCAGCGACTCACGGCAGCCCAGCTCCAGGTTGAGCTATTGTTCACCATCTTAGCTGTGGAGGGCAGTGTCACTGGCCCTCATGTGGGATCCGATCCGGCGGCCCTGCTGCTCAGAGCTCATGCTCCCAAGCCAACTCTTAAACAATGAGCCACTCAGCCGGCCCCAGAAATCGTTCATTTAATTTTTAAATTCAAATATTAACAAGAGGTAAAGGGAACACAGACGAAAGATTTTATCTGACAGTTACACTGTCTTGACTTGATTTCAAGGATACCTAACCATTTCCCTAACTCAAGCCTTTATGTTCTTTGAACTCATCGCTGTTACATATGGCTGCATAAGATGTGTACTGTGCAGCTCCAGTTGTAACAGCTACAATGTGAGAGGCAGCCCCTGGAATCATGCAATGCAGTGGCCCTTTTTAAATCAGTCTCGCTTCTTATTAACCTGGTATGTTTCCCCAAATACATCCTCCACAAAGGCTGCAACATAAAAACAACATTATAGAGGAAGACATATAACAAATAAGAATACCGGATTTGTTTATTGGATTAATACATAATTGTACAATTTTAAATTTATTCTAGTTTTGCAGTAAATAGAATTTACCGAAATTGGATCGCTAAGTCACTCCAGGATATCTTTCATGGCAGAGAAATAACTGGTAAATAAACTCAATGATAAAATGATTCTTAGCACAACAGTATTTACCTAGAGTCACTACTAGACACGCACTACTCTTCTAAAACTTTTTATAACTAAGATGGAAAGATGTAGCTAACTATGGAAAGAAAAATATGCAGTTCGTCAGAGCTTTTAGCAAGTTGTCAAAGCAGGAATGTGGGAACAGTGGTAGTTATGTTTTGAACAATTATACATGAATACATTTAGTCAAAATCTATTTGGGATTTCCAGAATTTCTTATCTAAAAACATGGGAAATTAACTCATGTGATGAGGGCAGTGTGGATAACAGTTGTCAGGACTAGCTGTTTTTGTTGCTGTTGTTGTTGTTTTTACATATAAATGTTCTGGGAATTGTCCTGGGAATTAAACCACATTGCCTTTTGCACTGAATACCAAATTGTCTCTACTAAACCCAAATCTTGAATTACGTCACCATTCAGGAAGCACATTTAATGTGTTTAGTGCTATAAACGGTTGCCTTGATTTGCAACAAAAGCCTGTAGTAGTCGTGTTTTTATTTGAATGTAACTTTTAAACATCATGAGCCTGCTAAAATATTTTTTTTTCTAACTTTTTAGTTTAACCCCCACTAAGGACTCTACTTCATGCAGTTTAGAGTAGGTCACATACCTTTTTCTGTAAAGGACCAAGTAATAAATATTTTAGGCTTTACAAGCCATACAGTTTCTGTCACAACTACTCAAGCCTGCCACTGTGGCATAGTGCAGCTATAGATAGCACATAAATGAGCAAATTTGGCTGTATTGCCATGAAACCTTATTTTAAAAAACAGGCAGCAGGTGCGTGGGCCAGTCTGCCAACCACGAGTTTTGAGAATCAAAAACTTCGATAAGATATTTTTGTGAAATTGACAGTTCTCTATTCGTTTTTACCCACTTTCAACTTTAGTTGATTCTTATGGAATTCTTATCCCCACATCAATCTGTTTTTATTAATACATTTTAAGCATTAGCTGTTGACTTCCTGCTGTCATCTGTAAGGATTTAGATCTTATTCCTCCTGCATGTCATATATGTCCCCTTCTACCCTGCTAATATACGTAAGTCGAATAGATTAGATGAATATTTCATGATTGTGTTATTTTGTCTGTGAGTCACATGTTGAGTGATTATTACTTTTCATTTTCTTCATCATATTCCTATTTCCCATAGTTTATAACTGTTATGTTTATTTTGTTAATATCTTTTCTCTAGCATGACACCAAACTCCTCATAAATTATTGAAATCTCCTTGATACACTGGGTATTCTAAATCTAAATCTCCCGTCACCATCCTGAGGATTCCTTTTGCCTGTATCTCCTGTTTCTTATATCCCATGCCTTCCTCATTTTTTGTATTCTTCTTCATTTTAATGGAGCCTGTAGCTTCTCGGGAAAAAGGTTCAAGGGATGTAAAATTTTTAAAACCTTGCATGTCTGAAAGTATTTTTATTTTTACCTAGTTTGAAAATCATTTTTCTTCAGAAATTTAGAAGCATTCCTCTATTATCTTTTGGCCTCCAATTCTGATTCCTGACTTTGTGTGTGTGTGATTTTTTTCACCCCTCTGAAAACTTGTAAACCCCAATATTCTGATGTGGCGCCATGTTTTCATATATTTCGTTGAGCCTTTTCAGCCTGACAAATCATGTCCTTCCTTGCGGGTTCTGTGCTGCAGCTTTTCATATGCTTTCTGTAAAGCTCAAGCAAGCACGTTTGACCCACACCTTCAGCAGCCCAGCTTGTCCCTCACTGAGGGACTCAATACCAGTGACAGGCCTCCTCCCCAGACGCGCATGTCTCTTCAAGGGAGATAACATGGGTAAGAAGTCTTGTTACATCACGAAACCCAGCGAGGGATTGAGCAGCAGAGGATTGATTTACTACTGTACGTAATGAATGGTCTCCAAATGAACTACATTTCTTGGAGAAGGGTGAACAGAGATGGTATGTAAGAGTCAGAATCAAAATATATTAGTTTCCCGAAGGCTGCTGTAACAAAGTACCACAAAGTGGGTGGCTTAAAACAACAGAAATTTTTTCTCTCATTCAGGAGTCTAGAAATCTGGAATCAAAGTGTCAGTAGGGCTGTGAGTCTTCTGAAGATTCTAGGAAAGAACTCTTCCTTGCTTCTTCCAACCCCTGGTGTCCCTAGGCCGTCCTTGGCTTGTGGCAGGATAACTCTCATCTCTGCCTCGGCCTTCTTCGCTTTGTCTCTTCTGTTACCAGTCATATTAGGTTTAGGGCCCACCCTAATCCAATATGATCTCCTCTTAATTAATTATACCTGCAAAGATCCTGTTTCCAAATAAGGAAATTCTGAGTTTCTAGTTGGACGTCAATTTTAAGGGGGGTATTTATTCAACCCAGTGCACAGGTAATTAGACAGCAGATGGTCCAGGCACAGGATTTGCAGCAGGTATAATTTAAAGCTGTATTTGGAGTAATATTACCTAGATAAGTCCTCCAACAGAATAGATTTCAAACTGCCGTCATCTTGCTTTTACTTAGATACTCATAAGTTTGTATTACGGGGGTAGGGAGCCTTATATTGGGCTATTTACAATGCAGAGTAAATTTAAAATAAATTCAAATGTCTGTTTGAAGCTGGTAGCTCTACTTTCATGCACTAGTGGAATTTTTTCACTTGCTTTGTGGGATGTTTATTGAATGCCAACTATTACCAGTTACTGTTCCATACACTAGATCTCTAACAATAAGACCAAGTCCCTGCCTTACAGACATGGAAGTGTCTACACTGGCATGCAGTGTTAGGCGATTTGAAGTGAAGAAGGAGTGGTAGAAAGTGTTGGGTTAATTCAGATAACATTTGAGTGGAGACCCGAATACAGTGAGATGATCAGCCATGTATATTTGGAAGTAGGTATTCCAGGTAGAGCAGAACTTGCAGTGTATTAGCCCAAGAATTCAGTAAGGCTTAAAGAATTGCTGATAGGGGAATAGCAAGATCTGGTTGCGTTTTAAAAGCTCACTGTGACTGCTATATGGAAAATTGCCTGTGGGTGACCAAGATCCTAAGGAGAGTGACCAGGTATGAGCTTATTACATTGGTCCAAGGGATGTGTTGGTGATTTGGTCAAAGGTAGGAGTAGAAATGGTAAGAAATAGCTGGTTGAATATATGTTGCAGATAGCACCACAGGATTTGCTGAAGGATTAATTGTGAGATGTGAAGGAGGAATGTGATGGAAGAAACCTTAGGATTGTAGCCCCAAGCAGCCAAAAAATGACATGCAATAAGATGGGAAAGACTATTAGAAGTAGGTTTGAGAAGAAAATCAAAGAATTCTCTTTCAACAAATGAAGCAGGTGGCTGGCTATATGAGTCTGTAGCTCAAGTTAGAGCTGGAGGAAGAATTTGGAAGTTGTTGGCCTACAAATGATATTGAAAGCAATTAGCCTGAATCATGAATTTTCTAAATTCATAAATACACTAAATATTATGTTTAATCTGTACCCATTCAGTCATCATCAAATATTTTTAAAGAGTTGACTGTAAGCCAGGCACTGTGGTGGAAGGTTCTGAGAATGCAGTAGTAATACTAGACATTCAAAATATAAATATGTAGGATTAGATCATTTCTAGGTCTTTAGTAAATGTAACTTCAAACACTAGTCGTAACACCCAGCTTAATACTATATTACTTGATTTTTTTCATTTAATTTAGTCTTAATCTTTTAAGCTCTTTGAAAGCAGGAGCTGTTACATTTTTAAAAAAATATCACAAATGATGCCTACCCCAATTTTGGAAAGAATATTTATTAATTGGTTACATGGTAATTATAATTGTTCAAGGGTAGTAGTATTTTTGTCAGCATGAATTTTATTTATCTTTAGCATGGACTATACAGGTGACTTATGAGAATATTAATAAATTTCTGTTCCCTAATTTTTAAAAACTATGACATTTTATTTTATTTATTTATTAATACTGCCATGTTGTTTTTACTCCCATGTGTCTATTGTTTCAATTTGCAGCCTGACTCTACTGCGACTGAGAGAGCGATTGCCAGATTAGCAATGCACCCTCTTCTGAAGAAAAAAATAGATGTGCTAAAAGGTATGAATAAGGGACTTTAAGCCATGTTCTTAAATCCATTTGTGTATGTTATTTTGCATAAATGGCTATTGATTTAGTTATGGTTTTGTTTCTTCTTTTTGAGAATCTTTTATATTATAAATACCTCTTTCAAATATTTCCAAATGTGAGAAGTTACCTGAAAATATGGAAGGTATTTGATATCTGAAGAAAAACTAAATCTGTATTTTTCCTGGATTCTAATATATGAATATATACAACATATATTCACATATTTATATATCATAAATTCATATATTTATATGTGATATATGCTCATGATTATGTTGAATGCAGTTTTATTTTCTAATTAATAATATAATTTATATCACTTTTGATGTTGCCACTACTTAGTCACATAACCTTCAATTATGTGTGTACATGTATTGCAAGAATTATCTACTTTTGTCACAGATTAGAAGATATTTATTTTTATGTCCGAAATCCAATTTATAATGCTCCACAATTGTATCAGTGCATTATTCCTACAGAAATTAAGGTTGCCATTTTGTTTTATTTGTTTGCGTTCAGTGAAGTTTTTTTACTGTTCTTCATAACTTCAAGATGTGAAATGATCTTTTAACGTTAGATTTTAAATGGATACTTTTGAGCATTTCTTATAAGTTTGATTTTTAAAAAGTCAGCAGATTTCTTTGTATATTTAGACCTATTCATTATACATAGAGCCATGTGTCACTTAACAACAAGATATGTTCTGAGAAATGCTTCATTAGGCAGTTTTGTCACGTGAACATCATAGAGGGCGCTTACACAGACCTAAATGGTATAGCTTACCTTACACCTAAGCTTTGTTGTTATCTTATGGGACCACCAAATATATGCGGTCCATAGTTGAAGGAAATGTCATTATGTGGTACATGACTATTTAATATAATGGATAAATTGTCCTTAATGTTTCCAAATAATTTAAGAAATACTGTACTGAAACAGTGATATTTTATATTATTTGTTTCAATGTTGAAACAAGTCGTGTGCTATTTCTCTTGTAGCTGCTGTCAAAGCCTTTAAAGATGCAAGACAGAATGATGCTGAAGTGGAGCCATCAAAGAAGGCTACAGAAAATCATTCCAAGGACACTTTGTGTTCAAATGTTGATGCCATTAAGTTACAGCATGAAGGAATTAATACCATTGAGCAAAAAGACAAAGAAACCAAAATATTGGCAAAGAAGCCAATAAATAATTCAAATAATTCAAAAGAAAAAATAGCCAAGATGGAACAGAGACCCAAAGCAGTAGACATTGCAAATTCTCCATCAAAGACTTCTGAAAAGGATTCTGTCGTTCCTGCCACACTCCAAAAGACACCTGCTGACCCAGTAATCAAAGCGTTAAATCAAACCAAAAAAGAGAAAGAGTGTGATAGCTCACTTGGTAATAACAGTGATGGAGAAGAATTACATGAAGAAGAGAAGGAGTATTTTGATGACAGCACAGAGGAAAGGTTTTACAAACAATCTTCCATGTCTGAGGATAGTGACAGTGGTGATGACTTCTTCATTGGAAAAGTCAGACGGACATGAAAGAAGGAAAGTAGTTGCCATTCTTCAGTTTTGGAACAAAAATCCACCAAAAAAGCATTCTCTGAAGAGGATATACTTGAAACTCATCAGGGTATAAGAACTGACAAAAACAAGACAAGTACAGAAGTAAAGACGTTTGAATCAGTGTTTTTCCATTCTTTATCTGGATCTAAAAGCTCTAAAAGGTAAGAGTATTTTTCAATCTGAAATAATTATTAGTTCATTTTTTTCGGGATATGAAATATTGGCACACCCTAATAATGAGAGAAGAGACTATCTCCCTTACATAATTCTAGTTTATGCAAAATACATCCTGTGTTTAGACTTGGACCTCTTCAACTCTATATTGGGGTAATATATACAAATACACATATAACAATGACACATTTATCCAGTTTCATCAGAAGATTAGCCAGATAATTTAAGTTTATTCCTTCAGTTATCAAACTTTTGAAAATTCGAGTTAGCTTTTGACAAAACACTTCTGAAAATGTTTAACATATTTCACTTTTTAAACAACTTTCTCAAAAGAATATGATGTTTTGTGTTTTTTTTTCTTGTTAACCCAGGGCCATTATTGTAAACATCAATCATTGTATTATGGATTCTTTTTTCAATGCATACAGCTGCTTGCCCTGACTCTGTTTCTTCAGGCTGCCTATTCCTACTGTTAACCACCACTTTTCACAACTGTTCTGTTACAAATCAATAGGTTTTATTTTCATTCTTAATTCTAATCTGGTAGGGGATATCTTCACACATGGTTAGACAATTTCTTCAGTAACAGCTATTTTCTTCAGTAAACTTTTTCTATATATTTATAGGTCAGGGGTAACTTTTGATAGAGTAAAAAAATGTGATGTTGAAATTTCAAAAGAAGAGTATGTAAAAGATACAGAGCCATCTGTGGAGCCTTGAAAATAATTAAAATATTACGTATATCTTCCAAACCTCCTTCAAAAGGCAACATTTTATTTTTCTCACTTGAAAATAGCACACCACTATCCCTTCCTTCTCCCATAAAATGTAAATCTTAGTTGTTGCTGTATGTGACTCATTTCCCCTGTGAGAAGATTTTTGAAATTCTTTGTCTAGATAGTCCTCCAGAGTAGACTCAAGGTAACCAGGATAGGATATTTTATGACCAGAAATCCCTATAAGGGTAGTGAGAAAAAAATTCCCATGTGTGTCTGTGGTATATAATACTAGTGTTTAACAAACTTTTAATATAGTTAAAACCTGGGGTTTTTATAATATTTTTTATAGATTGCTGGTAGGATGAGGGAGTATTATAGTCTATTGAATGAGCTTTATCATCAGTTTTATTATGTTCCCTTCTCAAGTTAGAGGATTTATTTGTCTTTTAAAAGTCCTGATCGTGTTTTTCTTCTTTTAGGAATTGCAGAGAACAGGCTCCGAAAAGCAACACCCAGGGTATGTATTAATGGCTGCCTGACCACCATATTCAGTTAAGCAATGCTTTGCCAAAGAGGAAGGATGAAAAATTCTGGTTGCTTAATAGTCTGAATGAATTATGTACCCACAGAACTGGAAACAGAGCATCTTAATAATTATCAGTATAAGTTTTAATTTAAATTGTTTTTTTTCCTCCCTGTCTCCTGCCAGTGGGAAAGATACAAACAAAAGTTATTAGGAAATATTGGGTCCATTTAATTTACCTTGAACTAAAGCAATACATTCTTTAAGTAAATTATTATACAAGTTATATCTTAGTTAACACCATGCCATTAGTATGTTACTTTCTGGGTTAAGAGTAAAATCAGACTATTTTCAAATTAATTCATAACAAATCAAGTTTAATATATTTGGACAGGCTGACTTCTGTACATATCCGAAACTCAGATTTAAAACAAAAGTTTCTCACTCACGTCACAGTCCACTGAATCAGCAGAAGGGCTGTGTTTGCATTCAAGGATCCAGCTTGTTCTTGGCGCCTTCCTCCTCTAGCAGCCAGATCCTCTCCATTTGGCCAGCAGAAGGGAGTGAAGCATGTGGAGAATTTTGCAGATGGTTTTCATGGGCCAGGCCTGGAAGTGGCAGGAATCAGTTCTGCTCACATTTCTTTAGCCAGAATTCCATTACATGAACCATCTAGCCACAAGGGGCTAAGAAATGCAGTCTGTGTGGCTAGGAGGAATTTCTTGAACACATAATGGCCATCCTTTTGTTCACCAGATTCCCATTTCCTCTTTTCTGCCACACACAGAGCACTTCCCTCCTTCCCAGCAAGCCTACCCAAAGCCCCATCCAGTCACTGCATCCACATGCAGAGCCCAGGATCACTGAGTGATGGATGATATGGTGCCATCAGATCTCATGGATGTGAATGATCGAAGCTTAGTGACTGGTGCACTAAAACGACAAACTACCTATCCCAACTCATACCAACTATGTAGTGGCAAAGCGGGGGAAAAATAACCACAAGAAACACTCTCAGTGAGTTAAGGGAAAAATGAGAGGCACACAACACATCTACTGTCTGAACAAAAATTATGAAGGATCTGAGAGGAACTTGGTCTCCATGGTCCCGGGCTGTGTTCCACGGCCACATCTGAGGTGGACGTTCAGTATCATCTCCTTGGGGGTTGCCCCAAGCGACTGGTAAAAATATATGGTCCTGAAGACTGTTTAAAGTCTTAACAGTCACAGATTTTTTTTCAGCCCAAGCTTGTGATTTCTTTCACAGTATACTTTCCTCAAAAACTTAGTGCATTTCTGACCTCTTTGTTTTCAGTCAGTCCATCCATGAGCTAGTCACTACACCAAAACTTCTTTCCTGGAAGCTAATCCTCAAACTTGCCTTATTTATGCTTGTGGGGTTTTTTGTTGTTGTTGTTGTTTTTTGGTTTTTGGTTTTTTTTTCCCACCTCCACTATCATTCAGTGTCTGCTGTATTGAGACTCAGCTTTAGTTGGGAAGGCCATATTTTTTTATATCTCCTCCAGGGCTCAAATTCTATCGGTCTTTACTGCTTAAAATTTTTCTGTTTTATCTCTTACTCTTTGTAGTCCAAAGGCTTTTCTAAACCTTAAGTCCCCCAGTATCTTGACTCTGTCCCCTTTAGTTTCTGCCTATTATGTATAGTAGACTAACAAATAACTACCAAATCACAGTGATTTTATTTCTTATTCAACAGTCTGTCTGCTCCTCGCAGTCCTTTCCATCTTGTGCCTCTAGGAGTTCTCGGAGTTCTCTTTGTTCGTTGGGAAAAGAGAATAGAGGCTTGAATGTGAGGTTTTTATGATTCGGCCTTTTATTCACATTCCATTGGCTATAACTCAGTTACATGGACTCATCTAGCTATAGCGCAATGGGAAATACATTCTGATTGTGTACCTAGAGGGAAAAGAAAACTAGGATTGGCAAATACATGGCAGTCTGCCTCATTACCATGTATTCACAAATGCAGAATAGCTCGAAACTTAGGGCACTCCCACATTTTTCCAATATGGAGACCCATGTAAAAGTTTTTATTTTTGCTTAGCTTACATATTTATAATATTTATCAATTTATGTGTGCAAATTTACATAATTGTTTAAAATATATATTGGCTTAGAAATATTGCCTTATTCAAATCTGAATCTTCATGAAACAGTTTTATTTAACATTTACACCCTCCATTCTTTTATCACTAGAGACACTTTTTGAGAGCTGTAAGTTTCTAGAGCACATTTAATTTGTATAAGATATGGGACATTTTGACTCTGTGTACAGTGATGTTTTGGAAATGTTATCCCAAACTGTGTACACTTATGCCATTTGCTATTCAAGGAGATCTTTAAAAGGCTTTTGACGATGTCTGATGTTCAATGACGAAATTATGCCCCCCTGGGACTGCTTAAAACATCTATATTAAGTTTTTGCCTCCCTTTTCTTTCTGATTATAAACATGCATTTATTCATGTCTTTTCAGGCTAGTATGTCTTCCCCAAATAGTACTTTGTTGTTCATAATGATGCAATTGAAGTGCTTCAGAATATAAGAGTCTGTAAGGACTTGAATACAAGTTGCCACCCTGATACCTGGTGGATAAATTTATGACCAAAACAGAACTTTGTCATATACCTAAGTAGGTTTAATAATTTACCTTGTAATAATAACTTTTTGTTCAATAACCAGAAGGGAGTGCAATCATTAATAAGCCCTTTAAAAAGAAATCTCTCCCATCAACATTGTCAGATCCAATATCTTAGTAAGATACACAATATCTTGTGTATTTTCTGGCTACATTTGCTTCACACACAGATACTATAAGCAGATGATACTCCTTTGAAACTATAAAATCCCATCCCCGCCCCTTTTTTTGGCCTTCCATATTGTCTGTGCTGTTTCCTTTTTTATTGTCAATGTAAATAAGATAGCACAGCATATTATTAGGTAGCACACATTAAAAATCTGTTTACAAGGATAGAAAGGATGTGTCGCAAAATTGACTGCTCATAAATATATTTCAACTTCAAGCTGTTCCCTGTTGAACTCAGATTTTAAATTGTTAGGTATTCCACTTAAGTAAAATTACATTTCTTCCTTAATACTGATTTGAGAAAATGAAATATATATTTTTTGTATGCTATTTGGGTATATAGTTAGTTTTCATGGGTTTTGCTTTCTTCTCTCAGGTTTTCAGCAAAATGAACCTCCGTTCAAGAATCAGTTTATTAAGAGTGCACTGAGAGGACCTGAAAACCCAAAACAGCAGTCACTGCTGCCCCTTCATCCTTCATGGGAAGCAAGCAGGAGGCGAAAAGAGCAGCAATCTAAAATCGCCGTGTTTCAAGGGAAAAAAATTACATTCGATGATTGATTAGTACTTTTTGCATACTTTTCCATCTAAAAAAATTTTTTTTCTTTCTTTTTTAACCAGCCCATTGTTTAAACTCGTATTTGAATATATCTCTTTGGAGGGGGTATAGAAATAAGTTTGTTGTTGTCTTTATTTCTTTTTTTTTAAGTATGTTCAAGTTATGTTTACATAAGCCTTCCACAAATCAACTACATAAGTTGATTTTTTTTTTAAAAATGCCCAAACTATTCCCTTTACAAAGGATTTTGAAATTATAATTCAGTTTTCCTCATTTGTGCTTATCATGAAGTTATTTCACTGGTTTAGGTCTATGTTTCTTTGCCTTGAAAATAAATATCAAGATATATTTAAAATAGTAATGGGAAATATGAGAAAATTGTAGCTATTTAAAATAGATCACCTTTGCTAAGTTATTCTTGTTAGCAAAACTAAGAATAAAATAGTAACATTCATTATGGGTATACAAGATAATAAATTATACAAATAAATATTAATTTTTATTATAATTTTAATTATTTGTAATCGTGTACTTTTTGACTGTTTTAGTTTCCCAGGACAATTTTGGGTTTCTGAATTATATTTCAGTTATTTAGGCAACATACATGTTTAAATGTGGCAAGACAACGAAAAATTACTTTTATATTTCACTGAATGTAAATATTTCTGTTAAATCAAGAATTTATAACATAGAAACATTGTTTTGAGGAATCATAATTGGAATTTATAAAAACAAATTTTAAAGGAGGTAAGATTGAAAAGAGCATTTCCACTGATGGCTGAGCAGAAAAGCTATGAGATGACTCCTGAGGGACTGATTACTCATCCACCATAGTACTCTTAACTTAAAAGGAAAACAAGATTTTAAAAATCCCTTCAGATGTTTCACTTTTGCTAAGGTTCTTGGTTAACTAAATAAAAGTAACTAAATTCCCTGTTTTCTGTGATGGTGCTGTTAATGGCAGGGAAAGCCTTCTGGTCAGCAGGAATTCACAAGCTCTGGTGAGTTGTTTCTATCTTTTCAAGAGCTTAAGAGTTTAGATAACTAGAGCAATGGAATTCAAGAAGTTGTACAGAAAGAAAATTATTTTTGCTGTGTTGAATGCAAAATTTTTTTTTCTATTTTTTTCTTTAAAATTTTTTTGACAATTTCAATTATGTAAAATTGAAATTAATTTCATTGAAATTTTAATTATGAAAATTTATTACAGGAAAAGTGAAAGAAAAATGTCTCTATGCCTACCCAGATTTAGCCAAAATGTGAGGTTGAGAGCCCTGTCCTCCAGACTGCCAAGTCTGCTCAAGACTTCTTACCCCAGTTGCAAGGAGTTAGGGGTCAACTACAAAGTTAGAAGAGCCCACGAGACCACTTGTACTTCTGACATCAGCCGCAGGTTTGGATGTGGTGTGCGGGGAGGGGCAGGATGTGGAGGGTTCCCCAAACTCTCAGGTTCAAAAATTCTAGAAAAACACCCCAGAACTCACTGAAACCTATTCTATTCACAGTTAAAGGGCACAAATTATAGCCAACCAAAATGGAAGAGATGCATAGGGCAACGTCTATGAGGGCTTAAAAAAGCTTCTGTTGCCCTCAGGACACATTATCATCCTGGTGTCAATATGCAGATTGCCAATCTGAGAAGCACCTGGAGCTTCGGTGACCAGAATTTTATTGTGTCTTCAATATCTAGACATGATTGATTGATTGCTCATGGGATTGTTCTAGATCAGGGGTCAGCAAACTGCGGCTCGTGAACCACATGCGGCTCTTTGGGTACGTTCTGTCTCAAAAATTTGCTGACCCCTGGAAGAGCCAATCGTGTCCCTCACAACAATTTAAAAATTATTTGAGAGCCATGAATATATTTTTACATAATCGCCATTATGTGAATAATATCCTTTAAAAATTTTATAAATGAAATTGTGATTTTCATTTTCAATTTTACTTCAGAGCCACATGTGGCTTGTGAGCCACAGTTTGCTGACCCCTGGCCACTGGCTCCTCCATCTCAAAAGTTTGCCGACCCCTGTTCCAGATGGACTGATACCACATGACCGAAAGCCCCATCCTAAATCACATGGTTTGTCTTTTTTAGTGTAGCGAGCTCCTGCCCTAAACAAAGATATTCCTATCAGGTGTGACATAGATGGCCTTCAAGAAGCTGCAGGCAAAGCCAGTTCTCTTTGGGTAAGGCCAAGTTCCTTACTACACAATGTCCTTTGCCCAGTCTAGAAACTTTCACATTTTACTGCATTTTCTTTATTCTTGGCTCTCATCTTCCCTCCTTTTCCCTCCTCCGCTTTCTCCTCCTCTTTTGTTTCTCCCTCCCTTTCTGTCCTCCTCCCTTTCTCTCCTTCTCTACCTCTCCATCTGCTCGCTTCCCCTCACCTTTTTCCCTCCCCATTTCATTTTTCTTCTCCCCCCCTTCTTTATATTCCCTCTTTAAAAACAAAGCCATTCTCTATGCTCTGTATGACCACAACCCAGTTATCAAATCTCAGATTTTGCCAGTTGTCCCAGTGTCTTTTTATAGCAACAGGAAACCCAGCATCATGCCTTACTTCAGTTTTCGCCTTACATTCCAGTTGTCATGTTCTCTTGAGTTGGGAACAGTTCCTGAGTCTGCCTTAATATTTCCGGACATTGACGTTTTTCAGAAATACAGGCCAGTTTATTTTGCATTGTCCCTTTTTTGGGGAATGTCTAATGTTCCCATTATTAAATTCAAGTTGGGCAGGAAGTTCACAGAAGGGATGTCCTATTTGCCCCATTGCATACCAGGAGGCAGGCGATGATGTTTACTGGCCTAGTACTGGTGATGTTAACTTTGGTTACTTGTTTCAAGTGACAATCTATACGGTTTCTCACAGGAAAGTTACTATTTTTCACTTCGTAATTATCTGTGGGGAGATACTTTGAGACTGTGTACATCTTATTCTGAAATTTTCATGCATTAGTTTTAGCATTCCTTCATAATTCTTACTGGAAACCATTGTTGCTATAGTAGTTGTAAATGGTGATTTAAAAACAATTTTCTTGTTTCTACATTTATTAGCTGTAATAAGGAAGAGCTTTTCTTTCTCCCATTTATTCATTTTTAACACATTGTGGACCGGTGTGTTAAAATTTGTTTCAGTATGATCTCATGGATAACTCTTTCCATTTTGCATTCTTCATTACTTTTATTACTTCATTTTGTCTATTGGTTTATAAGGTTTACAATATACATCTTTAATTTGTGAAGTAGTAGTATACCACTATGTAACTACTGCAATATAGTACACGTTGATTTCCTTCCTCCCAGCCTTCGTGCTTGTTTTACTTCTACACATACCCCATAATACATTGATATTGTTTTCACTGTAATATTCCATTTATCTTCTTACATGTTCATGTTTTTCTGTACTTCCTTGAACATGTGGAATATTAACAGTTGTTTTAATGATCTTGATGCAGTAATTCTCAACTTGGAACAATTTTTACCTCCAAGGGACATTTGGCAAAGTCTGGAGCTATTTTGGGTGTCACACCTAGAGAGAGGGAAGTTATATCTAGTGGTTGAAGGCCAGGGATGCTGCTAAACATTCTACAGCATATACAACAAAGGATTATGAAACTCGAAATGTCAATAGTGCTAAGGTTGAAAAACCTTTGTGTAGAGTTCATTTGGCCCCACGACTGAAGCATACCATTCTAAGAACCCTAAAACCTAAAGCTTTGTCTATTAGGAAATCTATCTGTTGTGTCTGGTGAGAACACAAGCTGTACCTGGGACTATGTTCCTGGGATTGTTCCACTAAGTCCTTTCTAGTGCCCCCTGCCCCCCCCCCGGCTTTGGTAGGTTCTTCATACACATTGCACAGATCACTCTTATGCCATCGACCTGAGTGGACTTTCTATATAGGGAGCACTTCCTTTCCGTGTGTCTCCTTCCTCTTACATTTTTCCTCACAGATTCTAGTCATAGGAGCCTATCTCAATTCTGAACTCTGTCTTCAGTAAGGCCACTGGGCTATTTTGGGGTTCCTTCTGGCTGCACTATAGTTTGGAAACTATTCATGCAGAGAGCTGAGGCACTCAACTTGTTTTCCTTCTCTCAGGTATTACTGTCCTGTACAGCTTTTTCTCCAGTGTCTGAAAACCTTTGTTTTATATGTTTTGTTCAGTTTTCTCATTGCTTCATGTAAAAGGGCAAATCTGATCCCTATTATTTCATAACAGAAATGGACGCCCATTATTTATTCTGATGCACAGATTGTCCTTAATTTGACCAGGAGAAGCCTTCTCAAGCTATCTCCTATGTCCTTTTGACATGTAAGTCCTTTCTCTAACAATGAGAAAGATGGTTCCCATTATCTACAGTATATTTATTCATTTTCTCAACCCTAGAATACACAGAAGTTAGTTTCAGAATCACTAACTGATTTCTCTGGAAAACAACAACAATAGCAACTAACCAAAGTTCAGTATATGCTTAGAATTTTTTCTTTAGCCTGAGGCATATGGTCTCTAAACTAAGTTTGAAAGCTACATGGGATTACGTCAGCAAAATGTTGGAGTAAGGACACTCAGAAATTCTTTTCTTCATAAAAGACAACTAGAGGGGCAGTCGGTTAGCTCAGGTTGTTAGAACGCAGGCTCATAACAACAAGGTTGCCAGCTCGATTCCCACATGGGCCAAGGAGCTGTCCCCTCCACAACTAGATTGAAACAGCTACTTGACTTGGAGCTCATGGGTCCTGGAAAAACAGTGTTCCCCAATAAAATTTCTACAAAAAAAAAACAACAACTAGAAAACTGTCCATATTATCAGAATCAACTTTTTCAGCACTATGGAATTAACCAAAGGCTTATAGCAATCCAGAGAGTATTTTTCAAGAAAAAGGCTGAATCTTTATAAGAACAGTGATTTTTGTGACTTTTTAAATTGCCCTAATCTCATCCCCCACTTACCATATTCATGGTAGTCTTGAAAACCAACAGCCCATAGTCACAGCAAAAACCATCAGCCTAACAGTCACTGGAGGGTACAGAACAAGGTTGGAGCTTCAATTATACATATACATTCCCTCAGAATTGTCGTATGTGACCAGTTTGGTGGTTTACTGGAAGACCACACTTGCAAATCTGTCTCGACTAAGAGCTTGCCCAGTGCAAAAAGTCTTCCTGAGATTGCTTTTCGAAAACAAGTAGAGGCAATTGTTTAACATCACAGCTGCCTGAGACAGTGACGAACAGCTGGGGCGAACCACAAGTCCATCAAAAAGCTTAAAAGGAAATCTAGAAAATTCAGTATCTTTCGGAACTCTGATATGTTCTGACATATTTCTTAGCATTAAGGAAGTAACATGCATATGTCTGCTTGCATGTTTAGGGAAAAAACTAAGGATGCCCTAAACTCACCTCTGGTTGACCTTGAGTCTGCACTAGAAGGAAGTGAAGGCTAAGGTGGAATTGTCAGTTTTCTGGCTAAGTGTTGAAGGTGTGACCCAACACACACACACACAGACCTTCAGCAAAATCAGAGAAGTATTGATTCCAGGCATTTAAGGACATCTCTATGCAGTTATTAGTGCACCAGTGCACCACTAAGGAAGCAGAGACTTCAGTGGCCATACAGAAAAATGAATACAGACTTCACAAAAAAGAACTAAAAAATATCATTAAACAGACAACGAAAAACAGCAGCAAGACTTGGGGAGAAGGAAATATCTTATTACTTAAAATATCCAGCTTTCAAGATAGTATTGTAAGACATGCAGAAACAAAGTATGGCCCACATACGGAGGGAAAAAGCAATCAGTAGAAACTGTTCTTGAGGAGGCAGGACTTTGGATTTATTCAGAAAGGTATTGAATAAGCTACTTTAAATATGTTCAAAGAACCAAAGGAAATCATGTCTAAAGAACTAAAAGCAAGTCTGAGAACAATGTCTCACCAAATGAAGAATATCAGGAATGAGATAGAAATTATAAAAAGAGACAAAACGAAATTTAGGAGCTGACAAGTACAATAACTGAAACAAAAAATTCAACACAAGGGCTTGACAGCAGATTTGAGCAGGCAGAAGAAAGATTTGGTGAACCTGAAGATAGGTCAATTGAGATTATCCAGTCAAAGAACAAAGATAAACAGATCCCCAAAGGCTTGTGGGATACCATCAAGTGTACTAACAGGCATAATGGAAGTCTCCTATGATTGGAGTTTCCACTCAGCTGTATATCCCAAGAGAAGTGAAAACATGTTCAAACAAAAACTTGATCATGAACATTCATAGTAGCATCGTTCATAATAGCTATAAAAAAGGAAACAACCCAAATATCCATCCACTGATGACTGAATAAACAGAAGTGGTAAATAAAGTTGACTCTTGAACAGCAAGTGTTTAAACTACATGGGTCCACTTATATGTGGATATTTTTTAATCAATACCTGTACTTTTTTTGATCCATGGTTGGGAGTCCGTGGATGTGGAGAGCCAACTGTATGCATTGATCTTTGTCTTTTTATATAGGGTACTTGAGCATCTGCAGATTTTGGCATGTGTGGGACATGGGGGGCTCCAGGAACCAATTCCCCATATACTGAGGGACACCTAAGTTTTTGGGGAGTCCAAGTTATACACAGATGTTTGTCCAGGAGTTGGGGTTCTTCAAGGGTCAACTGTACATGCATGCAATGGAATATTAGCCATAGTATTGATATATACTATGACATGGATGAACTTTGAAAACAACATGCTCAGAAGCCAAACACAAAATATGGTTCCACTTACATGAAATGTCCAGAGTAAGTAAATCCATAGAGACCAAAAGTTAGATTAGTGATTTCTTGGCATAGTGAGGATTGGTAATGGGTATGGCATTTCTTTTTGGATTGATGACTGTGTTGCAGAATTAGATGGTGATGTTGGTTGTACAACTTTGTCAACATACAAAAACCCATGGAATTGTGTAATTTAAAACATGAATATTATGGTATGTGAATTATATCTCAATTTTGAAAATAATAAAAGTTACCTGGGTTAAGTGCTTTTTTCCTTCTTCCATGTAGTACTTCATTTGAAATGCAATATAGTTCATATGATGATATTTTATTTTAAAGAATTTTCTTTCTTGGTAGTTTTATTTATATGTTTTCTTTATATATATGAAACATTAACATTGTCCCATAATCAAAGCTACACAAAGCACTATACTCAGAAGTGGCAACTCCTCACTTTTCACCCCATTTGCACACATATCCTGTAGAAAATTGGTCTCCTTAGTCCCTAGTGTATCCTTCTGTTTCTATAATATTTGCATAGATGAACAAATATATGTTTTTAATTATTATATTTCCCCTTCTTTTTATACAAAAATTAGCATTCCCTAGATGCTCTTATGAAGTTATTTGTTTTTTGTTTTTTTATTTAAAAAAAAAAACAACAAAAACAAAACACTAGCATCCCATTGGGTAATCTGTCAATTTATTTAACCCATTCATCTATTGGTATATAGGTTATTTTCTATATTTTGTAGTTACAAACAATGTGGCAAAGAAAAGTGAACAACAGTATGCATTTTCATATTGTGGGTTCTTTCCTAGAGGGAGAAATGTTATGTCAGAAGGTAAATATATAAGCAGTTTTCTTTAAAAATTGCCAAATTTTCCTCCATGAAGGTTTTACCAATTTGTATTTCCACCAGCAGGGTATGAGCAACGCCTGTTTCCCAACAGTCTGCAACAGAGTTTGGTGCTTCATTGATCACACTGGGATTTTTGCCAGTTGGATAGGTGAGAAATTACCTCAGTGTAGTCTTACTATGCATGTTTCTTATTAACGGGTACAGTTGAATACTTGTTTTAATTTTTAAGAACTATTTTTGAATGAATTTTTGTGAATTTTTTTTTCATGTTTTACCCATTTTTTCCATTGGTGACTTGTTGTTTTTTTCCCCCTAATTCTTAAGATTAATTTGTATATTAGAAATACTAGCCCTTTATTTGTTATATGTATTGCAAATATTTTTTCCAAAATTGTCAGTTGTCTTGATTTTATTTGTGTTGTTTACTTTTCTATCATGTTGTTCGTCTACCACTTGTTGTACCGCATTTCCCCATGTATAAGACACACCTTTTTTCGAAAAATTTGGAGTCTAAAAACTGGGTGCTTGTTACACAGTGGTTGTAGATTTCAAATGCCATAGATGGAACTGAGGACGAGGCAATATATGAAGACAGTGATTCGTCATCAGACACAGATGAGGACAAGCTAATGGTTGGGAGTTTTGACAGTGATGAGGAGTTGTATGAATTTTATAATGAATAAAACGAGTTCAATAACTTTATGTAATACATTTTTGTTCAAATTTCGGGCCCCAAAATTAAGGTGCATCTTATACATGGGAGCGTTTTATACATGGGGAAATATGGTATATAGTCAGAAGTATCAGTTTCTTTTATTTCATTTTTGCATGTGGATTTGGAATTATAGTTAGAAAATCATCCCCTACTATTGTTTCTATTGTTTGCTTTCTGACTTTATTTGGTATCCGTTTGCTGTCCCTGCTTTCTTAGTGTTTCCGTTTGCCTGGAATCCTTTGACTATCCCTTTATTTTTAGCCTGTCTGTTTTAGGCGTGTCTCTTGAATAGAGCATATGGTTGGGTCTTTGTGAGCCAAGTTGAAAATCTTCCCTTTGGATAAGCAAATTAAACCCACAGTTGTTGATAAGATGAATATGTTTGTTTTCAGTTGTCAAATTATCTTATGTTGTAATTATTACATTTATTATGTTTACTGGTTTTTTTCACAGTGTTTGCTGTGCTTTTTTAATAAAGAAATTCCTAAGTTTGGTATTTAAGAATGTTAATATTTCTGTTCTAGTGGTGGTTATCTTTGTGCTTATACCTTTTTAATGCCTTTAGTTCCTTATTTCTTTTATTCACAATTTGCATTGTCCATTTTCAGTGACATCCCTTAACTTTCACTTGTTGCCTAAATCATGGTTAATGAGTTTATTCTACTTTTCTTGTTTAATCTCCATTTTCCTCGTATTTTTAGTTGCATTGTTTTTATTTCATTGGAACATGGCTACACATAATATAGAACATTCTTTTATATAACATCCTTCTATTTTAATTTTAGATTTGCAGTTAAATATATTTAAAACTAAACTTCTAAAGTTTTCCCAGTCATCTTTTTTTGGATTAAGTTCAGTTTCTAGTAGATTCCCCAAAAAAGGTAAGAATTCTGTGAACCCTTGATCTTTGCAATTTTTTTCTGTGATTTTCATACTTACAGGATTGTGGCTGGATGTTGGGAGCACGACTGTCTCAGTGATCGACCCCTTTTCCTGGGGCAGCTAAATTATTCATCGTATCTTTGGTTTGGGCGAGTTTCTTACCTCACCCCAAGTTCAGAGATCTAATATTCTGGGCACAGGACAGCTTCCTGACCCTTACCAGGGTTGTTGGTTTTTTGGTGTGTTTTTTTCTTTTACCCATTCCACAGTGAGTTTTAAATTAACCTGTGCCCTGGTTGACAGTGTTTGATGACCTTACAGTAGCTTAAGGCTTTTTTCTCAGTAGGGAAGAAGGATCCTGGTTGCATATTTGTGTCTTTCCTGCAGTAGCAGCCTCTCTTCTTTCAGGCCTGCACCAAGGAAAGTTTTCTCTCTGCTGTGTCCCTTTTTTGCATCTTTGTGTAAGTGGAATATGGGTGAGAAATATATGAACCATTTCTAGGCGTGGCCCATAAAAGCCTCTTCTATTTCCCACTCTTCTTTTGTCCCTCAGCTGGATGTCAATTTCCAGGAAGACATTAGAAGATCCCCTTTTTTAAGATGAAAAAAACAACCATCAGCCTGGGAACCTAAATGACTGGGAATCATGGTCATCGATCCTTTCCTCCACTTAAGCCAACTGCTTAAGTTATCAAAACTACATATAAATGCGCGCACACACACACACACACACACACACACACACTCACACACACACACGCACACTCACACACACACACACACACACGAGGTCTGACTATTAAGTTCGAGAACTTGTTGCAATGATGTATAACCTTTTTTGGTGTCAGAGGGATTATTCATTATGAATTTGTACAACTGGACAAACAGTTAACAAAGTTTACTGTTTGGTAGTGCTGAAAAGGCTGCATGAAAAAGACGACCTAAACTTTTCGCCAACAATTCATGGCTCTTTGCATCATGACAATGCACCTGCTCACATGACACTGTCTGTGAGGGAGTTTTTAGTCAGTAAACAAATAACTGTATTGGAACACCCTCCTTACTCACCTGATCTGGCCCCCAGTGACTTCTTTCTTTACCCGAAGATAAAGGAAATAATGAAAGTAGGACATTTGGATGACATTCAGGACATCAAGGGTAATACGATGACATCTCCGATGTCCATTCCAGAAAAAGAGTTCCAAAATTGCTTTGAAGGGTGGACTAGGCGTTGGCATCAGTGCATAGCTCCCCAAGGGGAGTGCTTTGAAGGTGACCGTAGTGATATTCAGCAATGAGGTATGTAGCTCTTTTTCTAGGATGAGTTCGCGAACTTAATTGTTATACTCGTGTGTGTGTGTGTGTGTGTGTGTGTGTGTGTGTGTGTGTGTGTGGTACTAAACCAAAAGAATGTGGGATTTTTTTTTAATAGAACAGGTATTGTTATTCTGATGCAGAAGGTGGTGCTAGAAGAAGGATATCACTGTAACAAAAGTCCAAAATACTTGACATTGGTCCAGCAGACAGTCAAGATAAAAGCTAATACCCAAGGGCTATAAAACTGGAGGTTTGTGTAATGCAGTGACAAAACAATTTTTTAAGTGGTCATTTGCAGTTACTTGGAATGTGGACCCATGCCAGCAGACCCCATAGATCTAGAGAAAAAGGGTGGAAAATGGGATGTTGGTGGTGATGATTGTTATTATCTGCATTTATCAAGGTGATGGAAAAAAAAGATGGGATGTGGCAATAATTTGTTAGTTAGCAAGCACAAAAAAAGTAAAAGGATGGAAAAGCCTTTTACTGCATTTAGTCCCAAATGATGAGATTACACACATTAAAACTTCTGGCCCCAGCAGGGACCTGAGTGAAGGTGTGGCATTAATTCCTAAACATCATAGCCTTAAGATATGGGGCATCAGAGGAAAAAATAAGGCCTGCCTGAGAATTATGTTTAGGAAACAACTTTGGGAGATGCTACTAGCATATTAACCGAATAGAGGTAGCTTTCCCTCAAAAGCAATAATCTGCTTATTTGTAATGCCAAAGAAATTGCAAGCCTGGATTTCAGCAGCCTTCAGACGCTCTATCGTTAAAAGTATTCTGGGGCCGGCCGAGTGGCTTGTTGGTTAAGAGCTGGCTTGGGATGCCAAAGGACTCCGGTTCGGATCCCACATATGAGGGCCAGTGACACTGCCCTCTACAGCTAAGATGCTGAACAACAGCTCTACCTGGAGCTGGGCTGTCATGAGTCGCCAGGGACGGCAGGTGGGTTGCCATGGGCTACCGTGTGTGGCCAGCAGCCAGCGTGAGTGGCCAACAACCGCTGTGAGAGGCCATCCAGAAGCCAGTGACTGATCTGCCTTGCCCGGGAAGAGCGCAATGATGGTCACAACTTGGGCCAGTGAAGCAACGTCCTCCACAACTAGACTGAAGAACAAAAGGATAGCAACTTGTCTGTTCCCCTTCCCCCAATTCCCCAATAAAAAAAAAAAAAAAAGTATTTTGAGCCTCCCAAACTTGCTCAGGGAAGATATGAGTTGCAAAAACTAAAGGACCCCAAGAAGGGCACAGTCCCTATCATTTATTTCAGATGTGATAATGGACAAAAGAGAACCTGCATGTTGTCACAAATGGCAGTGTTTCATCTTTTCCTATGGCCGAGTAATATTTCGTTGTATATATATGTACCACATCTTCTTTATCCAGTCATCTATCAGAGGACACTTTGGTTGTTTCCATGTCTTGGCCACTGTGAATAATGCTGCAATAAGCATAATCTTGAGATTATCATGCTAAGCAAAATAAGTCAGAAAAAGTCAAGAACCATATGACTTGACTCATGTGGGATATAAAACTGAAAGCAACAAAGGAACAAGATAAACAAACAAAGATGAACTCATAGACATAGACAACAGTTTAGTGGTTACCAGAGGGTAAGAGGGGAGTGGGTGGTAGAAGAGGGAAAAGGGGGTCAAATATATGGTGATGGAAGGAGAACTGACTGGGTGGTGAACACAATGCAATATATAGATGTATTACAGAATTGTACATGTGAAACCTATATGATTTTACTTACCAATGTCACCCCAATAAACTCAATAAAAATTTTTAAAAAATATAGTAAAACCGTGGATTGTGAGTAACTTGGTTTGTGAGTGTTCTGCAAGATGAGCAAACATTTCTAATACATTTTAACTTGGTAAACGAGAGATCTCTTGCAATACAAATAGTTTGTTTTCAGAATGAATTATGCTCTCAATCGAAGGTATTTACTGTACATTTAAAGACAATAAAGGAAGGGAAAGTGGGAGGGGGAAAAAATGCATGGGAAAAAAAAAAACCAGAGAGAACCTGCATAAGGGGAGATCCAGAGCTATGAATAGCATTGATAAGTAGTTCCTTCCAGATAGCAAAGTTGCAATCGATGAGATGTCCCCGCTGTCAGACCAGAGGGACCTCCACATGCCTCCCAGAAGGATGTCATCACTACTATAGACCAGTGCCTTCTGTGTGTCTCCCATGTCTCCTTTACCAGATGGCAGTTATTACAAATCTGTCTTTGTTTTACCACAGTTCGTTGGGCCTGGTGGCAGTAGAGAGATTTCTGCTGTACTAACAACAACTTGTGTTGTTAGCACAGGTGTCACTGAACCTTAAGGAGCCATGTCCAGAACTGATGGAAAGAACCACGCATCAGAGTTCTTGGACTTTGAGCTGGTTGCAATAACTGGATGGAATTTCAGATCGTCTCCCTTGGGGAAGGAGGAAACGTGCTCTAGATGTGATAGGATACTTAAAAACCAGAAGGACATACTGTATTGAAAACTGGCCAAGTGTTCACTGAATCGATTTCTTTTTTTCCTTAGGTACCCGGATAAATTACATTTCCTAGCCTCCTTGAGGTTAGACAAATGCTGGCCAGTGGAATACAGGTAAAAATGATTATGTGAGTTTCACCTTCCCCACAAACCTTTCCAAGCAGTCTTTCACATCTCCCCTTGTTTTCCAGCTTGATGTTGGCATCCTGGGCATCCTTGCAAGATAGATTTTGAATATGGTGAAGTTTCTGTCAGCCAGAGTCCCTGCATGGTTGTATGGAGAAAGTTCCCCAACCCTGCCTAACCACCTACTGAACTTAACATGAGCAAGAAATAAGTGAGTACTTGTTAAAGTCACTAAGATTTAGGGTATTTATCTGTTACTGCAGCTAGGGTTATTCTAATACATGTATGATCTGTGGTTTGGATCTAAGTATTTTTCCAAAATGAATATTGTTCTAATGCTATTTTTGAGTATTTGTGTCATCCATTCTCTATGGATTTGAAATGTCACCATATAGTCATGGGAACATTTTTAGGTTCTTTCTTTTATCACTTAACTATTTCTCTTACCCAATATTACATTATTACAATTATTATTGTCTTGTATTTCCTTTAGATACCTAGTATCCTGGTTAACTCATAATTTTTTCTTTTCCTCAAAGTTTTTTTGGCTATTCTTATGTCTTGACAAACAAATTTTAAAATTAGCTTGTAAATTTTATTTTAAAAATTATGTTGGGATTAGTTTTCATTACTCTCAGAAATTGTTACCTGGGAAGTATGTATCTTTCAAACATGTTCTCTTTATTGTTCTCTCGTTGCATAAAGTGGTGGGCCTGCTTCCACGAAGAGGCCTAAATTATAGGATTGTGGAAGAAATGATAGGTATAGGAGTATGTGCAGTAGCCTAAATATGGCATCATCGTGCAGAAATTAAGTAGCCTTAAGTCAAATAGTGGAATGTTGTTTGTGCTTTGAACATGTGTTTCTCTTCAAGGGAAAACTTGTTTTGAAAGAAAGTTATTCTCCATGTTGTTTTCAGGATAAAATTAAAAGGATGTTTTTCAGTAAAAACAGCCAAAACTTAGAGGGTCAATGAAGGGAGGAAGGTTATTTGTGTTTATTTTTAAACTAAACATGGTATGAATATTCAGGGTTTAGCTTAGCTCTCTCTATCATGGACAGAAGTTCATAGGTTTTAAGTATACCAACAGCAACCAATTTAGCTAATGTCTGAAATATATGTAAACTACCTTTGAATTTTTATTTTTTTCCTGAAATATTTTATTTAACTCATAACAAAAGATTTAGTCACTAAATGTGAAGATATTGAGATTTGCCAACCTTCATGTTTTCCTGTTTTAGTTGTTGGCAAATTCTATTTAAGAAGGCTGAAAATTTCTTTCCTTTTTTCTTTCTTTAACATTAGGTACTACCTGTAATAAAGAAGACGTTTTCAGACTCTATCTATTTTTTAAAGATTTGTAAGCACAATAATTGCATTATTAATGCCTAGAATTTATTTTCTTCAGACTTGACTTTATATTCTCCACTCTGATATCTATCTGCAAGCCTCCATCCCTCAGCTTTGTAGATCTGCACAAATGTCGTTTTATTAGTGAGAGCTTCTCTGCCCTCCCTTAGAAAATATCAACTGATTACAGTTGCTTCCTCCTTGCTTGATTTTCTTTCTTTGACAGTCATCACCTGACATTTATATGGTTGATAGTCTCCCTACCTGGAAAATAAGACTTTATTTTTTCTTCTGCCATGTCCCAAACTTGAACAGTGTTTAGTACATAGTAGGTGCTCAGTTAAATATTTGTTTTTTTTGAATACATATTCTATAAATATTTGAATAAATACTATTTTGAATAAATAATCATGAGTATATACAAGTTGTGTGGGGGTTTTTTGTTATTGTTTGTTTGTTTGTTTGTTTGTTTTTTCAGTTTATCAGTGACTCCTATAGTTGAATAGCTGCAGCTACTGGTTAGGAGGCTATTAGAATAATCCAGGTGAGAGACAGGATGACTTGGACTTGGTTAGTAACAGTGTAGAATGAGAATGAAAGAGAAGGTGATGTTTTATTATAGAGGAGAAGGTATAAATTAGTCCTCTAGAAAAAGTATGAAAATAATTAAAATCAGAAACAATGTCATTATTGGGCAGCCTTGGGAGCCCATCTGAAGTTTATCGTCATTAATTTAATGTGAGAGCCATTGTCATAGCCGTTTGTATTTTCATTTTTAGGATCTGTTTTTTGACCTATTTACTTGGGGCTCTTAATTTTTTTGTTATTGGTTTGTAGGAGGTCTTCATATGCTAGAGAAGTAAATCCTTTGACTATTATGATTTGCAAAGAATTTCCATTTTGTCATTTGTCTTTTGACTTTGTTTGATTTTTTTTTCCCAACAGAATATTTTATTTTATTCGTATTATAAATGACATCTGATCTTTAACCTTCTAACTGGTTATTTTGGTGGATATGAAGGCTATGAACTTCTATATACTGCCAGTTTTCTCAGCCACCTTATAAAACTCGCACTGTTTTTAACAGTTACTCCATTGTTTCTCATGCATTTTTCCAGGTCCCAAATTACACCATTTTAAGATAATGGTTATTTTACCTGTTCCTAATTTTAAAACTTACCTGATTGGAATGGCTAGCGCCTCTAGTACAACTTAAAATAATAGCACTGAAAGTGACCCTCCTAGTTGGTCCTGGACATGAATGGGAATGCTTCTAGTGCTTCCCGTTACGCATAAAACGTTTAGATTTAGATAGTATGTTTTTATGGTGTTAAGATCTAGTCCTCTTATTGAGGTGTATTTTTTTTTAATTAGGAATGGATGTTGAGTTTTATCAAATGCCTTTTAATAATTTATGAAAATGACTATATGATTTTTCTCTCTTGTTCTTTAAAGATTTAGCAGAATAACTGAAAAAAACAATTTTGCCTTGAGCATTTTGACAGTTTTCTGTATATTAATTTATCTGTTTAGATTTCCACTTGAACTCAATATTTCTTTTTTTTTAATTAAAATTTATTGGGGTGACAATGGTTATTAAAGTTACATATGTTTCAAGTGTACATTTCGGTAATACATTATTTATATATCACATTGTGTGTTCACCACCCAGAGTTTTCTTTCCATCACCATATAATTGGTTGCTTCTACCACCCCCCACACCCTCATCCCTCTGGTAACCACTAAACTATTTTCTGTGTCTATGAGTGTTTGTTTCTTCATTTATTTGTCTCGTTCCTTTGTTGTTTTCAGTATTATATTCCACATATCAGTGAAATCATGGTTCTCGACTTTTTCTGTATAATTTATTTCACTTAGCATAATAATCTCAAGATCCGTCCATGTTGTCACAGATAGTACTATTTCATTTTTTCTTATGGCAGAATAGTATTCCATTGTGTATATATACCACATCTTCTTTATCCAATTGTCTATCAAAGGACACTTTGGTTGTTTCCTTGTCTTGGCCACTATAAATAAAGTTGCAGTGAACATCGGAGCACATATATCTTTACGGATAAATGTTTTCAGATTTTTGGGATATATACCCAGGAGAGGGATTGCTGGGTCATATGGTAATTCTGTTCTTAATTTTTTGAGGAACCTCCACACTGCCTTCCATAGCAGCACCAGTCTGCGTACCCATAAAATATAACCATTTCATTCATGATATGTCTTATTTGCAGAACTAATTAGTATAATCTCTTGATTTTTAAAGTTACCTCTGCAAGTTTGGGTTAGTTTACTCTTTGGTCGTATTTCACATATTTGTATTTTATACTTTTTTCTAGATTAATCATTTGCCTAACTAAGGTATACAGTTAGCCATATAGATTCATATAAGGTATACAGTTAGCCATATCCTATAGATTGATACATTGTGATTTCTAGGCTACTGATTTTCTCTTTTCCTACCTTTTTTCAATTGCGTTTTAAATGTTCTTTTCCCATTTTCCCTCTCAGCTATTTTGGAATTTCTTTTGGTAATGATTCTTTAAATTTTATTTTATTTTATTTTTTTATTATTTTTTTTCTAAAGATTTTATTGGGGCATTGGGGGAGGGGAACAGTGTTGGAGAATCGGGGAAGGGGAACAGACAGGTAGACAAATTGCTGTTTTGTTCTTCAGTCTAGTTGTGGAGGATGTCACTTCACTGGCCCATGTTGGTATGATCGTTGTGCTCTTCCCGGGTGAGGCAATCAGTTGACAGTCATTGGGCAGCCGCTCACAGTGGCTCACGGCAGCTCTTGCCCACTGCTGGCCGCTCACGTAGCTCACGGCAGCCCACTGCAGCCCGCTGCAGCCTAAGCCAGTTGCCAGCGACTCACAGCAGCCCAGCTCCAGGTCGAGCTGTTGTTCAGCATCTTAGCTGTAGAGGGCGAGCGTCACTGGCCTTCAATATGGGATCCGAACCGCAGCCCTGCTGCTCAGAGCTGGCGCTCCCAAGTGAGCTCTAAACTAGCTGGGCCACTCGGCTGGCCTGACTCTTTAAATTTTAAAGTGAGTATTTTCTTAAAATCTAAATTAATCTGTGTAACTCTACCAGCCTCAGTAAGCAATACAGAGGCTTCATACTCTTTGATCACTTTTTAATCTTGCCAACATTTGTGTCAAGTATTTTAGTCCTGCCTTTTAACTTTATCTCCAGACTAGATGTTATCATTATTGCTTTTTATAGTCAATGTTTATGTAGATTTACTCACATCTTTACCAGTTTTTTTATTTATCAGTCTGTCTGTGTCTCCAACATTCTTTCTAGTGTCATTTTCCTACTTTCTCAAGTACATATTTTTCAACATTGTATAGTGACGATGTGTTAGTGGTAAGCCTCTTTAGATTTTTTTCTGTCAGAATAATGCCTTCATTTTAGTCTCAGTCTCAGTGACAGTCTAGTAGGGTAACCAACCTTATAGTAATTATTTTCTCTCATTACTATGAAAATATCTCTTTGTTTTCTGATGTTGTTTCTATTGAGAAGTCGGCTGTCAGTCACATTGTCATACTTCTTAGGCAACTTGTGTGTGTGTCAGTGATTCTTTTATAATATAAAATATTTATATTTTAATAGAGGCCATTTTTATAGTTATAATTTTATATACTATACTTAATACTCAGATGCGTTAGAACAGGGGTCAGCAAACATTTTCTGTACCAGGCAATACAGAAAATATTCTTGGCTCTGCCTCCCATAAAGTCTTGTGTGGGAGCTACTTGACTCTGGTATTGTAGCACAAAAGCAGCCATAAACAATATGTAAACAAATGGGTATGGCTGTATTTCAATCA